TTCTAGCATAGCTGGACTCTCTCTGTACCTGTTGCCTCACTGGAGTCCATCCTTCTCTGATTCTAGCAGCAGGCTTTTGCTTTAGGCTCTAAAAATTTGGCATTATCAAATAATTCAATCTTTCCCTAAGTCATTGTTTTAAATCTTTGAAAAATTACAGAATATTTCTCTAAAATGAAGACTAAAAGAAAAGGTATTATTGACCTTTAAATCATTCAAAATACAAAAAAATTTAGTGTGGCCGTACTTTAACACATGTTCCTTTACTCTATTAACATAGGCATATAACTCTTACTAAGAGCAGCAATGAAAGCTTCAACTATGCCAAGAAATATAAGACTGAAAATATCAAAGGTTGTAAGAGCATATGGAATTTTAAATGCCTAAATCCTTTCTGGAGAAATCAAAGAATGCTTTCTTCTAACGCCCTTGTTTTCTTCTCACCGGAGGAGGACTGACAGTGTCTTTGATTAAAAGAACACTTTGATTGAAGTGTTTTTTAAAAGGAATTTTAAGATTTTGCTTTCTGTTATTTGCAGTTTAAGTTTACTTTTCCTCTTTAACATGACAAAAAGATTGATTTTTTCAGCCTGTCTTCTAATAAATAGGACTTTAATAATGTTTTCTGTAATTTATTCCCTTAATGTTTATTTCTAATTACGCTATAACATTTTACTAAAGGGGTGTGGAGATAGTCTGCTTATTAGCATATCTGAGCATCTGGTTCCATTCCCAGGACTGGAAAACAAAAGATTATGAAACTGTAACCACTTTGTACATCACTTTAACTTTTATAATAATATTAAAAATCTTAAAAATCAAACACATAAAAACTAGCCTCCCAAATATCAAATACTATTAAAACCAACACAATTACTCACTATTCTAACTTTTCTTTCTTTCCTTCTTTCTTCCTTTTCTTCCTCTATTTCTTTTCCTCTCCTTCCCCCTCCTACTTATTTTGTGTGGTACCAAGGATTAAACTCATAGCTTCATTTATGCTAAGTTCATGTTGAACATAGACCTAAACTGACCACTAACCCAAAAAGACAGAGTTTTGTTTGTTTGTTTGTTTGCTTGCTTGCTTGCTTGCTTTTGTCCGTTGTCTGGGCTTGTATGCTGTCCCTGGGCTCTTCCTCTCAAGGCAAGCACTCTACCACTTGAGCCACAGCACCACTTCTGTTTTCTGAGTGGTTTATTGGAGATGAGAGTCTCAGGACTTTGCTGCCTGGACTGGCTTTGAACTGTGATTCTCAGATTTGAGTAGCTAAGCTTACAGGTGTGAGCCACAGGTGCGTGGTTAAGACAGCGTTTTTATAACCTAGAAAAAGCATGCCCTTACCAGATAGCTAATCTGTTATTGCCTTGAATTTGAATTTCTAGCCTCTAGAACTGTGAGAAATAAATTTCTGTGTTAGTAAGTCACCAGTCTGTGATAGTCTATTAAAGCAATATGAATAGGCCATTCCTTTAAATACTTTGAAAACAATATAGACTCGTGGATTTTTCCTAATAATATATTAAACTGTGACATGTAATAAATACAATGATTATTCACTTTTATTTCAAATATCTCCTACTTTGGGTAGGGGGACCCTTTGAGCTGGCTCAGGTGTCTCTTTGGCCTGGTCCTAGAAATTTACAAGCCCTCTGTTAGCTAGTAGGAAATGTTCTCACATTCCTTAGTGCTTGCTTTAGCCTGATTCTGATATCAGCCATTTCTCTAGGGAGTGTTATTTCCTTTGAGTAGGGAATAGTTTGTAGATCAAGATCTGGCCATTAGCTGTCCAGTTGTGCTGGTCACTGGGATGAGATATTGGTATAAACAAATCCAGTGTAAGAGACATCAGTGTAAATAAGTATATAAGCTCATCTATATAAAATACTTCTCAGTATATATGTTGATACTTCTACTTCCAACCTAACTTTTTCTTTTGTCAGTTGTGAAGCTGGAACTCAGGGCCTAGATGCTGACCCTGAGCTGTTTTTCTCAAAGCTAGCACTCTACCACTTTGAGCCACAGCTCCACTTCTGGTTTTTGAGTGGTTAATTGAAGATAAGAATCTCATGGGGGGGCTGGGAAGGTGGCTCAGTGGTAGAGCACTTGCCTTGCATGCCTGAGGCCCTGGGTTCAATTCCTCAGCACCACATAAGCAAAAAGAAAAACGCCAGAAGTGACACTGTGGCTCAAGTGGTAGAGCACTAGCCTTGAGCTGAAGAGCTGAGGGACAGCGCCCAGGCCCAGAGTTCAGGCCCCATGACCGGACCCCCCCCCAAAAAAAAAAAGAGTCTCATGGGGACTTTTCTGCCTGGGCTGGCTTTGAACCTTGATCCTCAGATCTAAGCCTCCTGAACAGCTAGAATTACAGGTGTGAACCCCTGCATCAGGCTTCCAACTTTATACCACATGGCTTGTATTTTCCTTCTGGTATTCTACTTCACATGAAGGTCAGCAAAGAAGCTGATATTTTAGGTGAAACTGAAATAACTAAGAGCCAGTCATGCAAAAATGTAGAAACAAGGGCTATGTTATAATAAATTATTTATATATATAGTATATATATACATATATACACACATACAGCTGACTTTTACTTCTATCTCATGCCTCTAAAATCTACATGTGTTAATAGTGGTTAACCATTAATATCATCCTTAGGTTACAGTATCAGAAGAGATCTGTGGCTTACTAGAAGATAGATAAAGGAACTTTGTGTCCTTTTTGGAGGAAATTGGTGCTTTTGTTGTTGTTTTAGGAAAGATATTTCATTATGTAAGATAGAAGCATTATTTTGTGGGAAGGTAGCTCAGCGGTAGAGTAGAGTGCTTGCCTTGCATGCACAAGGCTCTGGGTTCGATTCCTCAGCACCACATAAACAGAAAAAGCTGGAAGCAGCACTGTGGCTCTAGTGGTAGAGTGCTTGCCTTGAGCTGAAGAGCTGAGGGACAGCACCCAGGCCGAGTTCAAGCCCCACGACTGGATAAAACAAAAACAAATACAAAATAAAAGCAGCATTATTTTGCTTTTTTCATTGTACATGTATAAGGTGATAAGGTGTATACCATGATATTTTAATGTACTTATATCCTCTTCATCTTTCTCCTCCTCCTCCTCTATCTCCTTTGGTGCAGGTTTATTGAGCCCAAGACCTTGCACTTGCTAGGTAAATGTTGCAGTACTAACCTATACCTTAAGCCTAGTTGATTATCCTGATGTACATATATACAGTAAAGGGATTGCTATAGCCAAGTAAATTAATATACCTATTATTTCAGATGTTTAACAGTGCATGTATATATGAGTATCTAAATATTACTCTCTTGGAAAATCATAGTATACAATATTATTAACCAGTATTCTTTTTTTTGGGGGGGGGGTCCGGTTGTGGAGCCTGAACTCTGGGCCTGCGCACTGTCCCTCAGCTCTTCAGCTCAAGGTGAGCGCTCTACCACTTGAGCCACAGCACCACTTCCGGCTTTTTTCTTTTTGCTTATATGGTGCTGAGGAATCGAACCCAGGGCCTCAGGCTTGCAAGGCAAGCGCTCTACCACTGAGCCACCTTCCCAGCCCCCAGTATTCATTTTCTACATTAGTTCATTTCTTTCATTCATCCCAGACAATGCAACTTTGTACCCTTTGAATACAACTTTCATTCCCTAAACCTGCCACCAGTGATTACTGTTCCACTTTCTGTTTCTATGTAATTGTGAAAAATTTCCATACTTTAGCCAGGTGTTGCTTGTGGCTCACACCTGTAATCCTAGTTCCTCAGGAGGCTCAGATTTGAGGATCGCAGTTTCAAAGCCAGCCCAGGCAGGAGAGTTCACGAGACACTTATCTCCAACTAACCACCTCCCAAAACTCTGAAAATAGATCTATGCCTCAAGTGGTAGAGTGCTAGCCTTGAGCACAAAAGCTTAGGAACAGCATCCAGTTCCTGAGATTAAGCCCTGGTACTGGCACACACACAAAAAGTTTTCACATTTAAAGTAACAGTGCCATATATAAGTAGGGTCATGCTATATTTCTTTCTTTTTTTTCCCTTTTTTGCCAGTCCTGGGGCTTGGACTGAGGGCCTTGGCACTGTCCCTGAGCTTCTTTTGCTCAAGGCTGGCAATATACTACTTGAGCCACAGTGCTACTTCCGGCTTTTTCTGCTTATGTGGTACTGAGGAATGGAACCCAGGGCTTCATGCATGGTAGGCAAGCATTCTACCACTAAGCCACATTCCCAGTCCAGGCTGATGATTTTTTGGTTATTGTTGTTGGTCATAGGGCTTGAACTCTGGGCCTGGGTGCTGTCCCTGAGCTCTTCAGCTCAAGGCCCAGTGCTCTACCACTTATGACACAGCACCACTTCCGGTTTTCTGGTGGTTAATTGGAGATAAGAGTCTCACAGATTTTCCTGCCTGGGTTGGCTTTGAACCATGATCCTCAGATCTTAGCCTCCTCAGTAGCTAGAATTACAAGCATGAGCTACTGGCACCTGACTCAGGCTGATGATTTTTGACAGTATTTCCTCCTCCTTCTCCTCCTTCTCTTCTTCTTCTTTTTGTTTTTGTTTTTTTTGTCGGTCATGGGGCTTGAACTCTGGGCTTGGGCACTGTCCCTGCACTCTTTAGCTCAAGGCAAGCACTCTACTGCTTGAGCCACAGCACCACTTCTGGTTTTCTGGTGGTTTATTGGAGATAAGAGTCTCATGGACTTTTCTGCCCAGGCTGGCTTTGAATGGGGATTCTCAGATCTCAGCCTCCTGAAAAGCTAGGATTACAGACGTGAGCCACTGATGCCCAGCATTTCTGATTTTTTATTTGATGAAACACAAGGGAGTTACAACTTAATGCTATGGTACTACTGTATTTCTTCTCACAGAAATAAGAACCAGCAAGGGTAGTAGAACCACTCCATGGTCAAGAACAAGATAAGCAATAATAACATGTTAGGAGACTTAAAAGTTGGTAATTCAGTTTTAATTACCTAATTTCAGTGTATACAAGATTTCAAAAGAGAAAATGTATCATTCCACATTAGGTTAAGTTTTATATATTGACCTCTGTGTTTCTTCCTGCAAATATTTCCTTAATGTGGCCATCATTTCGATTATCATAAAGTATTGTGTCCCCTACATTTCCAGTATATTCTTCTAATGAAATGGTTGACAAGTATGAAAAGACTTTTTCCACAAGAGGTTCTGTGAGTAAAGACTTTGGAGAATTCCTTTTTGCTAGAGAATCATCAGAAAACCAGTCATCAGCTGCTTCTAGGCTTTGGCTACAATAAGAATTCGAATTCGATGGTAAAGTTGATAAGCTTACTGCAACGCTGCTGCAGATGGTTGCTGAGCTAGTCTCTGGGTGGTTGCAGATGTTTTTTGTTGTTTGGTGGAGTTCATCTTTAGGGTGATTTTCAATTGCTGTAAGAAATTACATATTGGTGAGCCAAATCTAATTACACAACATTATGTCTTTTTAAAATTCATATACTTTTAGGGATATAATGGGCAAGATAATGACTTGCTGTCATCATCTGCACAATATTAACAGGGAACTAGTGATGCTCCATAGTAGAAAAATCTATTCTAAATAAAAGTCCCTTTTTTTTGTAGGAAAAGATTGGAGGTAGACTAGAAACTCCAGTTCTGAGACATTCATTAAAAGGGATATATAAATATAGCTTAATATCGCCTTGTTAAAAAGAAAACACAAAACATGCTTTCTTGAGTAAGCAGATTACAAAGTGTTTAGTCCACAGTGAGAAGAGCTGATGGGTAGCTCTGTAGCAATAATTGTAATATACATTTCCAAGCACCCTTACAATTTGTGAAGCATTTTTCCCTATTATCATATCTCACTTATTTTCTCAATAATTTTTAGGTAGTTATTAGTACCACTCTACAAAAGAAGAAAATGAGACTTAAAGAAATGACCCATCACAAATTGGGTACAAAATGCATTTCAAGAAGAGGGAAGGGCTAGGCACTGGTGGCTCATGCCTATAATCCTAGCTACTTGGGAGGCTGAGGTCTGAGGATTGTGGTTCAAAGCCAGTCCAGACAAAAAAGGCCAAGAGACTCCAATTAGTGATCAGAAAACCAGAAGTGGTGCTGTGGCTCATAGTGATAGAGTGCTGCCCTTGAGTAAAAGCTCAGGGACAGTGCCCAGGCCTGAGTCTTATGACTGACAAAAAACAATAACAAAAACAAAAAAAGGAAGAGGAAGAGGAAGAAGGGGAAGATAGTGACAGAGGTGATGAAATTCATTGGAATGTTGTAAATGCGTGGAAATGAAATATTGAAATTACCTGCCAGGCACTGGTGGCAGCTGACACCTGTAATCATAGCTATTCAGGAAGCTGAGCTCTGAGGACCATGATTTGAAGCTAGCCTGGGCAGGAAAGTCCAGTAAAAAGTTGGAAGTGGAGATGTAGCTCAAGCAGTAGAGCACTAGCCTTGGGCACAAAAACTGAAGGACAGTGTCTATGCCCTGAGTTCAACCCCTAGGACCAGCACAAAAAAAAGAAAAAAAGAAAAGATTCCTTTCTCCCTCATATAACTAATTTAAACCGATTAAAAAAAAAAAAAACAGAGTAGGGGCTGGGAAGGTGGCTCAGTGGTAGAGTGCTTGCCTTGCATGCATGAGGCCTTGGGTTTGATTCCTTAGCACCACATAAGCAAAAAAAAAAAAAAAAAGCCGGAAGTGGCGCTATGGCTCAAGTGGTAGAGCACTAGCCTTGAGCTGAAGAGCTGAGGGACAGTGCCCAGGCCCAGAGTTCAGGCCCCACGACCAGACTCCTCCCCCCCCAAAAAACAAAAACAAACAAACAAAAAAAGAGGAAATATGTTTACTCTGTTTTCATGCTTTTCCTATTACATTATTTAAGCTGTAAATTAGAAAATTACAAATATTACTTTTAGAAACTATCATATAATTCTCTAAAATACATACTATACAATCAACTTTTATACATTTTTCACATGCCTTAATATTTTTATATTGTGTATATATATCTTATATATATTATATTTATATTTTACTGGTCCTGAACTCAGGGCTTGGTGCTGTGTGTAAGCTTCTTTTACTTAAAGCTAGTGCTCTGGCATTTGATTCACAGTTGTACTTCTGGCTTTTTCTGTGATTAATTGGAGATTAATTGGAGTCACAGGAACTTTCCTGCCTGGGCTGGCTTTGAACCATGATCTTCAGATCTCAGCCTCCTGAGTAGCTAAGATTACAGGTGTGAGTCACTAGTCCCAGCTTATATTCAGCATTCCTAAAATTATGTTTGGAGGTAATAAGATGTAACACACACTATCTAAAGTGTTGCATAAAAAGTCAAGATGTTTTGTTGTTGTTGTTTTTGTCCTACCGGTTGCTCATTTTGACCCTCCTGCAATATTGCATGGCATTCTGTAAAACAACCTTGTTTCAATAGGAAACAAAATAAAATAGGAAACAAAAATGAAAGTTCATGTTTTGAGACATAATATTGCAAATTTTGGTTTAAAACTTTGAAGTTTATCCACACACTAATAAATTAAAATTCCTATTGAATCTGAATGGCAATTAAATAATAATAGGATAGCCACTTGATTGCTCAAAGATATATTAAGTTATTAAGGAAAAGTACCTTTTACATGTTCTGCTTCTTTTTTCCTTTGCTCCTCCTACATAAAAAAATTACTTAAGATGAGTTATAATTTCTGTATTTGACTTAGTATATTTATATAATAGATCAAGTAATTTAACATGATAAATTTTTTAACATGATAAATTTTTATGGAAATATTTTTTATGAAATATGAATTTTTTGCCGAAATATCTTAACAGAGAAGAAAAATATTTGGAAAGAATTTGGATTGGGCCAAGGAGGGAATAAAATGTGTGAAATATGGTTCAAACAAGATATTCTTTTATCCTCACTAAGACTAAATGTTCTACTAAATGGCCAAATGACCAAATGGTCAGAACTAAAAACTTAAGTAGAATTCTTATATTTACTCATTTGTCTAAGTTAGCTAGCTAGTTAACTGTAACAATAAGAATGAATTCTAACTGAAGGTCATTACAAAAATAGGAATATCCTTTTTGTTGTTAGTGGTTGTGGGGTTGAACATTTTGCCCAAGGCTAGTGCTCTCCCACTTTGAGCCACAACTCCACTTCTGTTTTCTGATGATTTCTGGAGCCAGCCCAGGCTGGCTTTGAATTGTGATCCTCAGTTCTCAGCCTCTTGCGTAGTTAGGATTACAGGCATGAACCACGAGGGCCCAGCCAGAAATATTGTTCTAATGCAAATAAAACATTCTTAAATAGTACATTTCACATGTGTCTGGGAAGCATAGTAGTATGTCGGTTCATAAATAGTGTCAGGATTGCCAGTTGTGCTTAAAGTGCTAGTTTGTGGATGCATTATCTGACCCTACAGAAACATCCTCTGAGAGTAGTACTTGAAAGTATGGTTTGGGTTTTTTTGTTTGTTTTGTTGGTCGGGAGGCTTGAACTCTGGGCCTGGACGCTGTCCTTCAGCAATTCAACTCAAGGCAAGCACTCTACCACTTGAGCATAGTGCCACTTCCGTTTTTCTGGTGGTTTATTGGAGATAAGAGTCTCTCAGACTTTCCTGCCCAGGCTGGCTTTGAACTGCGATCCTCAGCTCTCAGCCTCCTAAGTAGCTAGGATTATAGGTGTGTTTTACACATTTTGCAAGTCATTATAATTCTGGTTTCCTTAAACCACTAGCTAGACTGTCTTGTGCATAGAATGCTTGGGATGTAGTGGGTTAGGATGAATGTAAGAATATTTTTCTCTTCCTCTCTGTACAGTATTTTCACAATAAAAAAAAGAATATTTTTCTCTTGTGTTCTGGGAGAAAAAAATTGTTTTCTGTGTTGATTTATGTTATCTCCCGAAAAGTTTAGGATACATGTATGCATTCATGTATACATAAATTCATATATACATAAATACACATATATACATTCTAACACACATATATACATATATACAGGGCACATATATACATTCTAACACTTTTTTAGAAAACCATTTTTTTGTCAATTACATCTTTCTTTTATTTGGTACTGAGATTTGAACTCAAAGCCTCACATTTGCTTGGCTTGCTTGCTCACAGCTGATTTTCTATGAGTTGACACACATACTTCCAGCCTGGCATTTTGCTGGTTAATTGGAGATAAGCATTTCATGGACATTGCAGCTGAGGCTGAATGCTCTGAAACTCAGTCTCTTGAGTAGCTAGGATTACAGGAAGTGAGCCTCACTTTCATCTTTTATTAATAAATGGCAGTATGGTATCCTGAACTTACCTTGTGTGGATTTAGGACCAATTTCTTTTGTAATTCCTACATAAATTACATTAGAATATTGCTTCTTAGAATGTAAGGTGCCTTTGAATTACCCTGGGAGTTTGTTAAAATGAAGATTCTTAGTAGGTCTGAAGTGGAATCTGGGTTCTGAGATTCTGCATTTTTAACTCACTTCCCAAGGTGATACTGATATTATTGGCCAGGGAAGGAGAGTATGACCCTAGACTGATTAAAATTTTACCTTAATGAATAACAAAAATGGGCACTTATATGTGTTATGAGTAGATAGGTAGAATGTTTTTAGACTTTTAACCCACTTCTAGAAATGTCAAGTAAATAATTTTGGTTTTGTTTTAGTAGCAAGTTCATCCAACATGTTGAGCTTTTTTTTTTTTTTTTTTTTTTTTTTTT